TTTTATTAGTGAAGTTGATAAGAAACAAAAAGCACTTACTGATCAAGATATTAATGCATTTTGTAATAAATTTGACTCATTTGAATATTGTTCAACTTTGCAATGTATAAAAAATATTATTAATCATGAAATTGCAATAAAAAAATAGAAAAATATTCAAATGATATCAAAAGATAAAAAAAATATGTTTTTATTAGGTATTCTTAATGCATTCGTTAGAAAAGAAACTACAAAAAATAATATTAACAAAAAATATTTAATAAATGAATATCAATTTGATAGAAATTATATTTGTTTAGAAGCTTTTTTATTAATATATAATGTTTCAGAATAGAAATAAAAATCAATTCGTAAAATTTTTTAGAAAATGATATTTTACCAATTACTCATTAACTTAAAGGAAAAATTAGTAATAACAAAATTTTATTTGAAATAATTATAAATATTTTAATATTTATTTTAAATTATACTAATATTCATGGACTTTCATCTCCTAGTATAGTATAAATTTTTTAAAAATTATTTAATTTTAATTATAATAATAATAATAATATTTTAGGTTGTCATTTTAATGAAGAAACAAAACCTATTATTTTTCTTCTAGCAACTGATAGTTATTTAGATTTATTTTATTTATATAATTTAATAATTTTAAATACTTCTAATATATCAATTAGTTCAACAAGTTTTATTAATATTTGAAAATTATATCTTTCAAGTATTAAATTTCTTTCACCTTGAAGTGATTTATATATTAAATTCAAAACTATATGATTTAATATTAGTCAGATTCCAGAAGCACAATTAGAACAAACAATAAATGAATAGACAATTTATAATAATTGGGCAAAACAAGAAAGAGAATATTATATGTATATTAAAATATTATATTTATATTATTTAATTATATTAATTTTTTTTTAAATAATTTTAAATTTTTAGAAATTGTATTCTAAATTCCAAATTGGCTATATCTAATACTATTCAATTTTTATAACCTAATATTCCTAATAGTATTGATATTAAAAATTATATTTTATAGAATTTTGCTGAAAGTGTTCAATTACCTTATTCATCACAACAAGAAGTATATAAATTTTATTTTATTTTATTTAATATTCATAATAAATTTTTAATATTAATTAAATTTTTTAGAGAGCTATATATTTTAAATTTTGTTATAAAGTTGCAGTATGTGGTATATGTGAAGATGCTTTTCTATGTCAAGTAATATTTATATAATATAATAATTAAAATATGGGATAACATTAATAGAAATAGGACAAATTTATCTAATAAATTTGTTCTATTTCTATTGATGTTACCCCATATATTATAAATAAATATAATTATAATATTTATTTTATATTATTTTAATTTAATATAATAAATTTTAAAATTTAATTAATAATTTATAAAACTTTATATTTATAGGTTAATTATTTAATTAAAGAAAAAGAAATGGTTGAAAAAGGAGCTGATACAGTTATTTCATTAGTATATCATTATTTTGAAAATCATAATATTGGAGAAAAACATTTAATTATACATGCTGATAATTGTGCTAAACAAAATAAAAATAATGAAATAATTAAATATTTAATCTGAAGAGTAATAACAGAACTTCATACAACAATTATATATTCTTTTATAGTAGCTGGACATACAAAATTTTTATCTGATAAATTTTTTGGATTATTTAAATTAAAACTTTGTAACTCAGAAGTTGATGATTTAGAAGATTTAGCATAAGTTGTTAAAGATTCAACATTAAATAATTATAATATACTACAATTAATTATTAAAAATAGAAAACATAAAGTTAAATTTTTTAATTGGACATTATTTTTAAATAATTATTTTGATGCAGTTCCTCAAATTTTAAAACAACATTATTTTTATTTTAGTAATAATAATCTAGGTTATGTATTTATTAAAACAGTAATTAATAAACCTGAACAAAAAATTAATATAGTTAAAAATAGTCAAAATTTATCATTTATAAATTCTTTTTCTACTCAAAAATTTTCATTAGGATTATCAGCTGCAAGACAATGATATTTTTATGAAGAAATAAGAACACATATACAAAATCTTTTAAAAAAAGATTATTTTTGTTCTTTACTACTAGTTTCAAAATCTAAAACTATTAAATAAAATACTTATATTATTTTTAAAATTTATTAATTATAAATAAATCTAATTGTAACAACTTATTATATAATCTTAAAAAATAGTCCAAGACAAATTAATAATTTATTTTTATTAAACTTTTTTATAAACAAATATAAAAAAATCTTAAAAAAAAAACATCTAAAAAAAAAACCAAAAAAAACTTTTAATTATAAAACTTTAATTAGTTTTTTCTAGCAAGTAGTAATCCTTTCTGAATTTTTAAAGAATCCAGAAAGAATCATTAATTGCTAAAAAAACTTAAGAATCCTAAAAGAATCATCAAAAATTATTAGAAGAATTTCTAAAAACTATTAAAGAATGCTGACAATCACAAAAACCCAAAAAGAAACACCAAAAACACCTCTAAAAAATGTTAAAATTATCAAGAATTCAAAAAAGAATCCAGAAAAAACCTTCATAATTATCCAAAAAAATGCCAAAAAATGTTAAAACTACTAAGGATCTAGAAAAAAACACCAAAAAGCCACCAAAAAATGCTAAAAATACTAAGAATTCAGAAAAAAACCTCTTCAAAAACTATCAAAAAATATCAAAAGTACCAAAAGTCTAGAAAAAGCTTTCAGAAGAAACTCTAAAAATTACCAAAAAATGCTGAAAGCAGAAAGAAACACTCAAAAGTTATAAGAAGAAACTCTAAAACCTACTAAAAAAATTGTCAAAAGTACTAAGAATCCAAAAAGAACTACCAAAAAAGTTATTAGAAAAACCTTCAAAAGGCTGTCAAAAAATGTTGGAAGTATCAAAAATTCATAAAGAAACACCAAAAAGTCATCAGAAAAACCTCCAAATAATGCCAAAATTACTAAAAATCCAAAAAAACTTCTGTTAGTACTAAATGTGAGTTTCTGGCTTTAAAACAAGCATAAAAGTATTTGGTAGATTTTTCTTCTGATTCTATTTAGTTTGCATTTGATCATCATTGCCATCTATTTGCTAATTCTGTTAGTTCTGACTGGATTTGTGAATTGAGTATATCTAATATAATAAAAAGATGTGTCTGACTGGGGTTTTTAGCTAGAGCTTCTTTCGTTTGACTAACTTTTTTGTTTAGTCTTTCTATTTTGTCTTCTAGTGCCTTAGGCTTTTTAAAGGCTTTTATAATAGATTTGATATAAATTTTATGTGTATCCCAGTTTGCTGCTATATTAGCTTCTTGGATTTCTTCTAGAATTTTCTTTTTTAGAACACTATTTCTGAAGGAGTTTACATCGAATCTTTAGAGAGATAAATGCCTAGGTTCTTGTTTTAGACTTAGAACACATTCTACCAATAGGAGATCTGAGTTTCTAAATTTTTTTTTGTTTCTGAGTTTAGGTAACTATAGTTTTTATCTATAAAGATATAATCTAACTGGGTAGCTATTATTTAATTGCCATATGTTTTTTGATGAAAAGTGTAAAAGGGACTTTGCAATATAAAGAAGGCAGAATCTATAAAATTCTTTATGATGCCTTTAAGAAGTAATCTTGAAGGATCATTTTGAGTACTTGCTTGACTCATTCTGTTAATTTCTAAATCCAGATTTGTGTTCAAATCTCCTGCCAGGATGTTGATTATATTATCTTTCTTCTCAATTGTCCAATTATTAAAAAATGAAGTTCTATCCAAGATGCTTGGTAGAGCATAAATATTAATTACATGAAAAGAAAATTTTCTAAAGGTGAAACAGATAGAGATTATTCTATTTTCTTGTAATATCTTGGTGTTCTCAAATTTTATCTTTTTGTTTCCTGCTAGGATTACTGTTCTGCCTGACCAGATTGAATCAAAAAACTATTGGTTTTTTAGAAATTGTTAAGTTGCATTATTAAAAGTATTGGTTTTCTGTAAAAGAATAATATTTAGTCTATAAGATTTTAATAGTGTCAAAGTTTTAAGTCGTTTGTCTATATTATTTAACTCTTTAACATTTAGAGTAACTACTTTAATTGATGTATTGTTCATGATAAGAGTTAATAGGTTTTAAAGCCACCTTGTGCTTTTGGTCTTAGTCCATCTTATTAGTTTTCTTTGTTAGAAGTTTTGTAAGGTTTTGATTCCTTGTGTCTTCTTTTTTTACACACAACTAAGGTAAAAGATGTGTTTTCAGTGTTTTCTTAGTGTTTAGTTTGGAGACTTTGCAAATCTGTATTAGTTTCTTCTGCAAACATATTCTCTGTAAGATCCTCTAAGTCTCTTTTTTCAGAAGATAAAGCTTCTTCATTAATAGCTATATTATCTTTTTGTGTTTCTTCCTTCAAGTCAGCTGTTTGTTCTTGAAGAGTTTCTGGTTCTATGTCAGTACTTTGTACTGTTTCTTGCACTAACAAAAATTTTTCAATGATGTTTATATCATGTTCCACTAAGCTTTCATTAGAAGTTTCAGTTTGGGCCTTTCTGTTTTTGAATTCTTAAAAGTGTTTTCTTAATTCTCTTGCTTCTTGAAACTGCACACAATTTTTCTTGATATGGCCAGTTTGGTCACAGAAGTAACATACTTTTGGAGCTTCTTTCTATTCAGTAATTACCCTGTTATCTTCCACATAGGTAAAGTGAGGAATTCTTTTCTCTAGTTCTAGATTATCTGTGCTATCAAAAATAATAATCTATTGGTCTGTCAGGTATGACATGCCTTCAATAAGCAAAGGTTTAATAAAGATAATTTTTTCAAAGTCTTGAAAGGCTTCTTTAACTTGGTTAAAGATATATTCTTTAGAGCCTAGAGGCATATTTTTGATCTTAATTGGTAGAAAGGATTTGTATGCATTTGTGGGAATATATCTATAATATGTTTCTTTGAAGATTTTGATACTGTTTGTTGCATAATGCAATAATCAATCTTGGTTTGGAAATATGATTTTGAGGTGAGACCTCAACTCTTTTTTAAAATATTGCTTGGCTGCAACTATGTCTTCTCCTATGTCTTTATGTAAAGAGATCATAATTTCATTAAGAGAATTACGAAGGCCTAAAATTTTAACAATTAATGCATTGTTGTTTTTGAATCTGGTTTGATTCCTAGAGAAAAATGCTACAAAAGATAATTTTTCACATCTTAACTTGGCAGACAAGCTTGTACCTTGTTTAGTAATTGATGTATAACTTTGGGTAATCTTGTGTGCTGATTGCTTGTTAGAGATACTGTTGTTGTCACATTCTGCATCTAACACATGACTGTTTTTGTTGTTGTTTTCTTTTTCATTGTTTGTTTCTTTTATAGTATTGTACATGTTTTTTAGGGCCCAAGAGTTGTTTTCATTTTGGTTAATATTCTTTAGCCAGTCTTCTTTGTTTTGGATCACTACTACTGGGACTAAATTATTTTTTATTGCTGCTATCTTTTCTTGAGCTATTGTTGTATTATTAAGTTTTGGTTCGATTTCTTTTTCTGTAAAAAAGTAATTAGTTTTTTTCTCTTTTCCTAAGTTAAGTTTTTTCATTTTAAAGATTTTTTCAGTTGCTAGAGGCTCTACTAGTCGAGGAAGCTTTCTTTTTCTTAGAACAAGGGCTTTAGCTCTTGATAGTATCTTATTTTTAAAGTTTAGGTTTCTGTTTAATGATTTTATGATTGTGATTTTCTATTTGCTTTTCCCGATCAGTGATAAACAGAATAAAGTTTTTTTTTTATTTTTTTTTTTATTTCTTGTATTGTATTTTTTATTATCTTCTTTTATATCTTTATATTTTTTTATATATAAGTTTTTTTTTGTTTATTTCTTTATAAAATATTATCAGATTAACAACATTCTATTGTAAAGTGATGATCAGATGCAACCTTTGGTATACTTTAATTTCTTATGAAGTTAGACAGTCAGTGCAGACAAATTACTTATAGAAATTGTAAAAGTATTTGCAAGATGTTGGGCTAAAATTTATGTAAAATTTTTGTTTATATATATGTAAAAAATTATAATAAAGATAAATTAATAAGACTACTTAAGTAAAAAGAAAAAAAAATTTAATAAAATATTTTAAATTATCTAATTTTATTTTAAACACTTTTATAATGTCTTTAATCAATTAACTAAACTTAATTATTTTATATTAATTAATTATAACTAATTAAGGTTAAGAATTTTGATTTAATATTTTTATTTTAAAAATTTTTTAATTTTTTGTTTAAATTTTGTTTATTTTTTATATTTATTTGATTTTTTTAAATTTTTTCAAAATTTTTGCTTTATCTTAATTATTATATATTTTATTAATTTATTAACTAGTTATCTAATTTTTAACTAATTATATCAAATTAACTAATTATTTAATTAAATTAGTTAACTAATTATAACTTAATTAGTTCAAATCATTAATTTGAAGTTATTATTTATAAAAATTTTTTAATTATATACATTTACTAATTTATGTTTTTATTAAAAATTTACAAACTAAAAAATTATCTAATAAAAAAAAATATTTGTAATTTTTAAAAATTTTATATTTTGTATAAAGATGTTTGTTTTTTATATTATTTATATTATTATTGGAACATTATTCATCAAAACACAAATTAGGACTTAACATACCAATTTATTAATTATAACAACAAATTTAACACTTATGTTATCCATTTTAAGTATTTACAACTAAAAGTTTCAAAATCAAGTTCTTATTAAATAAGCTACCTATATTCTTAAATTTACAATACAGAAAATTCTGTTTATAGAAACTTTGGCAATAATTATTATAACTAATGTTGAAAATTACTAATGCTAAAGATTAGAGTTTCTGATTTAAAAATATAAACTTAACCAAAATTTACTTATACTCTTTTATTATTAAAACTAATTCTAAATTCTAACTTAATAGTTAAAAAAATGCATTTTAAACTTTTTTAAAAATTTTATATTGTAATAAAATTTACTAAAAACTAGCAAACTGTAATAATATTAAATGCACAAATGCTAAGTAGAAGATCTTTTATTTAAAGAAAAATAAAATAAATAAAAATAACTAAAAATAAGAAATAAATATTTA